CTGACGGCTGAAACATCCTCTTCATACTGATGGCCACAGCAGGCTTTGGATGCCTCTTACAGCGCTGCTGGGGCATTTTCCCCATGACCTCTGGGGCTGGGAGAGTTGGTCTGGTGAGATACAGCTTTTTCTTTCCTCGGTCTCATAAGCTGCTTACAAGGGCACTGGTGAAATAACATCATCACAACTAAATGTTTCAGAAGTTGGCCAGTCCCCCATTACAAATTAAGGAGTGTCCGCAATGCGTTTCTGATGTTATAAAAACATATGTTGAATAACCATTAGACAGAAAAAGTTTTCTTAGAAAGTAGGAAAGAAAGGGGCTCATTCAGCCCTGTCCCTTGCTGCCAGACAGCAGTGTCAAAAAATTATGAACAGATGCTCTGTAGTGTGCGTGGGGGTGTAGGTCATTTCAGAATCTCAAAGCTCCAGTGGTTGGAAACATTTCCATTTTCAGCTTAAGTTTATTCATCAGCAGTTTGTAGCCATTAGCTTCTGCTTAAATAAAGTGTTATTGTTATTAGAGCTGGAATAGTTTCTTTGGCTGCCCTCGATTTTTATTCTAAGATTACCAAGGTGAGCACTTCTAGCCTCCTAGGCATGCTGGTCTTACCGTTTTTCTGGCCAGCCCAGGGTCCTTCTCTGCACCCACTCTAATTTCTGCTGATTTTACTTGACTGCAGGTATTTAGGATTGTGTACGATGTTCCATATGAAGTTCCATCAAGACCTTGTACAAGGACATGAATACCTTTATATTTTTACTGGCAATTACTTTCTTAATTCATCACAGATTTGTGTCTGTCTTTCTCCTGTCTGTAAAATACATGTGTCATCGTCCCCTGGTGTCTGTCATTTCTCAGGGTAAGTACTCATCTTGAAGCAGATATTCATAGCATCACGGAATGGTTTGGGTTGGAAGGGGCCTTAAAGACCATCTAGTTCCAACCCCCCTGCCATGAGCAGGGACACCTTCTACTAGACCAGGTTGCTCAGAGCCCCATCCAGCATGGTCTTGAATGATGGGGCATCTACAAACTCTGTCTCTTCTGCCATTCAGCATTATCTGATACTTTTAGTTTTTATCCTGCTTTTATTATCTCAGTCCTTGAGGCAATCCAGTTTCTCAGGTAATGATATTCCAGTCCTCTTCTGTGTTGATAATACCTTCCTATTTTGGGTCACCACAATTTTGGGGTAGGTTCTTAGTCCCTGTGCCTCTTTAAATATGGTCCTGTCCCCAAATTGCTCTTACTTTCTCTGACAATCAGTCTCCCTTTAAATGATAATTTTTCTTCAACTAGTTTATTTTCTACTATATTCACTTCAGTGTATTTCCATGTTAGATGCAAGGGTTCTGCTGTGTTTTCTTTGTCTGAAAATAAGGGATTGTAGTATGAGCTTCCTTTGGTAAGCCTGAGTTGCATTCTTTTCAGCTGTCATTCATCTTTGCATTTCAGTTATTTTTAGACTGGTTTCTTAAGAAAACAAAGCTTATGTGGTCACACTGTCCATCCAGAAAACAAAGCTTATGTGGTCACACTGTCTATCTCTCATCCTAATTCTCTTTCCGTGGTAACTTTTGAACTTACTGGCCGATTTCAAGCAACCTTGACAGAGGGCTAGACGCCTGTAAAATACTGAGGTTTTTTGAAAGACACTCGGAGATTACTGCATGAAGAAGCAAAAGGGACCATAACCTGCTGCTGCCAGTATGTATTTTCTGAAGTGATGGATCATCTTTTGTCAGATGCTGGTGGGTTAAAAACTGTGTCCTGAAAAGTGGTAAATCCAAAAACTTTCCTCTATGCACATCTGGGGCTCTTCCCCCTTTTTCCCCCTCTGTCTCCCTCCACTTGCATACAGCAGATGCTTTGCTTTGGATGTAAGACTCAAAAATGAAGTGAAGCAGAGACTTGGCTCTGTTCAGTGGAGGGATGAGCTAAACAGTCTTTTGAGTCCCTTCCTGTCCCATAATTGGTGATTTTGCTGTTGCGATTAGGACACTGGTAGGGTATAAAGAGAAATGTTTTTTTATCACTGAGCAGTGCTGTGGTGACTTGGTGGCAAGACTGGAACTAAACAGTAGAGAAGTGCTAGCCTGGCTGTCAGTGTTTTATAGCAAAATCAGTGATTATTTAAATGCAGACACCTAGACAGCTATGTAAGTTAGTTTTTTTGAGGAAATTGTGTTTACAATTTATAGTCAGCATTTCAGATAGAAATGTGGACTATGGGGTTTTTGATTTTTTTTTTTTTTTTTTTTTTAAATCTCAGCACCTCTAGCTCATGAATACTTCAATTTAAAAATCAAATGATCTCCCTCTTTGCTTTTCCTTGTGTGGAGACTTCCAAAAGGGGAAGGTGAGGGGATGGCCTCAGCAATCTGAATAAACCCTACCCCACTTTGGGTGAAAATACTTCTTTTCCGAGCAGCAGTGTGCCCGTTATGCTCCTGTTCTCAGACTCTCTCTTGCATCTTCACATCCTCATGCTGTGTCTTTCACAGATAATAAAAACATGCAGAAGCAGGTCCTTCTCGAATTGTGCTGTGAATTATTAATCTTATAATTGCAGCACGTGCAGGATTACGGGATGCTTGGTGCTTGCTAGCAGCGTTTAAACAAATTTATTGTGTAATACTGAAATCCCAGTCTTTTCCAGTGCTTGTATGTAGCTGAATTTGCTCAAAGGAGTTAGTGGTTAGTATACACAGTCTTCAGTCTTGCACGTTGTCAGGTTGAGGTGTGACTCTGCTCTGTTCCTAGTTGGAAGGTGCTGCCAAAGCTTGTGGTTGTGAGCTCCGTGGGAGCAACACTCCGCAGTTGAGAGCTCAGCCAAGGAGTGAAGGTTACGTAGCCAAAACTGCAGAAATAAAGATGAGTTTGAACTGAACCGTGAGGAGCTTGAAAATGGAAATCTGAAAGTGGTGAGCTTTCAGACATAGAATGTGAAAGTATTCCTGTAAAACTGGCCCACCAACGAATGAGAATCTATATACAAATTCACCTACTCTGGACACTAAAGGAACCTTTGGCTTAAATAAGATATTTAAAAGTATTTCCTGTGTATCTTAGAAACTATTCTTGTAAAGATAATATGAAAAAAATGTTTTTGAAATGTTTTTAATAAGACGTTAGGACAGTACAGATTTTTTTTTTTTTAATTACTCCTCTATGGTTTGCATTTTGTACCTGTCTGTTTTATATGGTTGCTCTTTATAGTTGGAATAGAATGTATATCTAATCTGGGTATTAATTCCATAGGATATTTTGGGATTAGTAACACATGGCTGTATGGCACAAATGGGGTCAGTAGCAATAATGTAGCATGAGAGGAGTGGGCTCTTTGAGACCAATGGGGTTTTTTTCTTTATGTGTATTGTGCTCATTTAATTCTCTCTTTTAAAAACTTCTTCTGTAAAGCTTTTTTTAAATTGTAAAAGTTGAATAAGAATAAGGAGGTCGAGGTAGTTTGTGGATATATTTATCTTTTCACAACTAACCTTGCAAATGTGTGTGCGGAAGGATGGTGATGCTTGTCTTTTGTTGTGGAAAGAGATGAAAGTTTGAGATTGTTTCTGGTTTGGTGGTTTGTTTGTTTGGTTTTTTTTTTTAACCTCTTCCTCATTGTACAAACTGGAATGCAATCCGAAATGGTGTTGGTTTTTCCTTGGAAAGTGGTACTGCCTTGTCCAGAGCATATTCCAATCTGTAGTCTGTCCGTTGACAGTTCTTTATATCAGACCTTCAGCAAAACCCATGAGAATTCAAAACTTAATGCTATGTAGGATGAGAAACTAAGCTACTTGGTTTCTTTCATGTATAAACACAGTGATGTGGTATTTGCCTTTCTAACTACACAGAGGAAGAATGTTTTAAATTAAACAAACAAATGCATTTACATTAAAATGCTCAGTCTTTCATTTAAATGTCATGAAAACATTTGTGTCGGTATTTTGACCTGATCCTCTGTTCCTTATTTAATTTGGGCAATGTTGTACACAAGTGAGATCTGACCCAGATTATCATAGAATCATAGAATCACAGAACGGTTTGGGTTGGAAGGGACCTTAAAGACCATCTAGTTCCAACCCCCCTGCCATGGGCAGGGACACCTTCCACTAGACCAGGTTGCTCAAAGCCTCATCCAGCCTGGCCTTGAACACTCCCAGGGATGGGGCATCCACAGCTTCTGTGGGCAACCTGTTCCAGTGCCTCACCACCCTCTCTGGGAAGAACTTCTTCCTGATATCCAGTCTAACCCTCCCCACTTTCAATTTAAACCCGTTACCCCTTGTCCTGTCACTACAGGCCCTTGTAAAAAGTCCCCCCAGCTTCCTTGTAGCCCCTTCAGGTACTGGAAGGCTGCAATAAGGTCTCCTCGGAGCCTTCTCTTCTCCAGGCTGAACAAGCCCACCTCTCTCAGCCTGTCCCCATAGCAGAGGTGCTCCAGCCTTCTGGAATCAGACTTAGGGGATAGCTTAAACTGCTTCTTCTTGAGATGCTTTAGGCTGAAAAAGAAAAGCAGTTGCAGAAAAAGGAGCGATGGCCAAGAAGCTGGGACCTTACCTTGCAGTGTTCTAAACAAAGGACGCTTTTGGTACGCTGGTGCCTAGAGTTAATTATCTGCGTTGCAATGAACTGGTGACATCTGGCAGAAACCCTTATCAGAAATCTAGTGGAGCCTGCCAGATGTGCAGCATCCAGAAAACACTGGACACGGGCACAGACTCTCAGGAGCACTGACCTGTAGGTCAGGGGCTTTAGGAACCATCCAGCTCCTGTGCAGGTGCAGAGCAGTTGCTTTCCACGTGCTAATGGTGGCTTGCGGATGAACTTGCAGTAACCGTACGTGAGAACTTCTACGGCTCTGGTGAGTAGCTGAAGCAAAATACAGTGCCCAAGGCATAACCTCTTCTTGTTCATAATGTCTTTGTGTGGTTTTATTGCATTTTCATATAACCCTTAAAAGCTGTTCTTGTTTCTCGTTTGATTTAAGGCAGTCCTCTTCTGTCCTGAAGGAAGAAATCCAGGTGAAGAAAAACCATGCCTTTGTTCAGTAAATCGCACAAAAATCCTGCCGAGATTGTGAAAATCCTGAAAGAAAACATGGCCATATTGGAAAAACAAGAAAAAAAGACAGACAAGGTATGAGGTGATGTTGGAGAAGACCAATCAGGTTTTTATGCTGGAGAAATGGTAGAATAAAGGGAATAAAATCGTGTGTACTCACTGCCCTGGTTCTGCAAGTGCTTGCACATGTAAGTAGCTTTGTGTTTGGATGGTCCTGTGGAAATTATGAGGCTTTTGCAGAACTAAAGTGCAACATATCTAGGGGTCAGAAAGAAAATGTTGAGATCCAGGAAGCTCAGCCAAAACAAAGGGTGATCTCGGACTACTTCAAATAGTAACGCATCTAACAAACCAGCTTGGAAGGCTATTTGAAAACTATTCTACCATTAATTGCTTTAGCAGGGTAACAAATGAGACTGCTAAATAATATGTAGGTACCCACAGGGCAAAACTTACTTCTGATGAACGTTGTTTGCATAAAACAGCAAACCTGTATGTATTCAGACGTATATAAGAGAGATCTCACTCTGTCAATCCTTCCCAATCTTCTGTGTGCTGGTGCTTCCTAAATGAGCTGCGCTACTCGTATTTTAATTATAATGCTAGGTTTTTGCTAATACTATTGCTCTTCTCTAACTGTGTGACAGAGACCTCAGTTACTTTTGCCCCTCTTCCACCGACGTGTTGAGAAGATGCACCCCAGCATACAGAATGCTCCCAATTAGGAATTTGTGCTTCCATAAAATTAAATAATTTAATTTTTTGTTTTGCATCTGAGACTCTGGCCCTCTACATTATTACTGTAGTAGAAGTATACAATTTTAATTAACAACAAACTCATTTTAGGTTAAAACTGAATGTCAGTGAAAACAGCAATAGCTGAAAAAAAGGCATTAACACAGGTTTTGTGCAGCTGATATTTGTGTGTGCATGTTGTGCTTCCCCCACCTCGTGCAGGAGCCTGTATTAGAACAAACCCAACCCAAAAGGTAAGCAGAGAGCCCTTGGTGCCCCTAGTGAAATCCTCTCGAAACTTTTTGGTTCAAAGCAGGTAGCTCAGTGTGTTAATTATGTAAGATCAGCCACACATATTTCAGGGAGGCCTCTGGTATTTGATGTCTCATGCCGAAATACCTTCGGTTAACTGAAAAGCACAGAGATATTTTGACTCTGAACTATAACTTAAAATAAACAGCTAAATAAACCAAGAGAATCTGCCCTCCCCTTCTGAATTCATCCTTCAGAGCCTGATTAAAGGAGACATTGAAAGCAGAAGCTCTGAACTTGGGTTTCTTTTCAATTTGCTTTGCAGCATGACGACTCCAGGTTGTGGTTTTGAGGAGTTTTGGCTTTGAGCTGGTTTGTTTATTTGGGTGTCAGTGACAAAGGAGGAGAAATTCAGACTTCTTAGAAAAATTCAGACTTCTTAGAAAATTGAGATTTCGATATAAATTTTTCCTAAGAGTCAGAACAGCTGGTGTGTGTTTTCCTCACAAAGCAAAAGATACGGGAGCATTCCCCCGGCATATTAGGATGGAAACAGCTCATGAATTTGACGAGCTTATTGTATAGGAGGAGGTTGGTTTTCAGTATTTTCTGCCATGCTTTATTGCTATGGGATGGAGGCTGTTCCTGGGGTGAATGTGGGTGACTGGGGGAGAAGAGGACGAGGCAGCAGAAAATGAAGGAAGCAGCCTTTTTTTGGACAGTATTTGCATATATTCTCTATGTGTCTTTTTTGCTGGACTTTGTGCTGCGATGTAGAGGAAGCCTATAGGGCCTTTCTCCATTTAGAAGGGGAGATGTGAGACTCCTCAGTAACGCTGCCTTTCATCTAAGGTGTTGCACTGATCTGTCCTGAAATAAATACCTATTAAAGAAAATAGCCGGATTCATTCTCCTGAGTTTAGGGAAATAAGGAGTTGCCTCGGATGCTTAAACAAGAAGATTTATCCTGTGACAATTGAGCTGTTATTGTAGTACAGCCAATGTGGTATGTGGGCTGAGACAGCTAAAAGCTGCTAATACAGCCAGAATTGGCAGAGAAATGTGGCAAAGCCTAAATTAATTACATGGCTAGAGGAGAACCTCCTCCTTCCCTTTCTCTGTTGAGAAATCCTAAGTACGAGGTGAAGATGCCTTGGGTGGTTGGGGAGGGGGTGTGAGGTTATACATCTTTTCCAAGACACATTTCCATGTGCACACATTCTGTACAGAAGCTTGCACTCTTTCTTAATGACACTTTTTGTTAGTCATAGAATAGGACCCATTCTGACTCTGACTGAACTCTGTTGGCTGCGCTAGCATCTGTCGTCTTCGATAAGGATTGAATTTGACCCAGTTCTTCCATGTGTCTTTTTAACAATTAATGTGCGCAGTGTTGCCATAATGCTTATTAAACAGTCTCAATCGAAAAATAGGCTAAGTTTGAATGTTTGGTTCTTTTGTGAGTGGGTTATTTTGTTTGCTTGCATGGATGTATGTGTGCTTAAAGCTTTGCCATTTTCTCAGCTACATTCTGATTGTTGCTAGGCCACAGGTTGAGAAATGCCACCACATGTGGCTCCTCTTCCTCTGATGTGCTCTTTCTAATACCATGTTTTTAAATTTTTTAAAATAACATCTATTTTAAAGATGTTATTTCAGCATTTGCAAATATATTGTAAAAATTGGGAGATTAAGTAGGGTAAGCAGGAGCTGGAAAAGCCTTCCTTATCAGCCATCCTCCTCTCTTCCAACATCTGAAATAAATAAAGTGTTCTTGTGGCATGTACAGTTGCCGGCATCCTGTTCAGGCTTTGATGTAGTGAACAGCAATTAATTATGTTTTAATACAGAATTCTATAAATGCAATAAAAAGTTAATTTTGGTGATGTAAAACCACCATCTGCTTGGATTCAATGAGAAATGCTCATTCTGGAATTAACTAGAAAAGCAGGGAAGTATATAAATACCTAGGAAGTGAAGCCTTCAGAGCTTAGACTTCCTTCTTTCTGGTATGAACTCCTGTAGCATTCGGAGGATGCCTGTAAATAGGGAGCAAGAGGGGAGAAACCCTGATATCAAGTGAACAGATCTGTTGAACCTGAGGAATCACGGAATGGTTTGGGTTGGAAGGGACCTTAAAGACCATCTAGTTCCAACCCCCCTGCCATGGGCAGGGACACCTTCCACTAGACCAGGTTGCTCAAAGCCTCATCCAGCCTGGCCTTGAACACTGCCAGGGATGGGGCATCCACAGCTTCTCTGGGCAAGCTGTTCCAGTGCCTCACCACCCTTTCCGGGAAGAATTTCTTCCTGATGTCCAATCTAAATGTACCCTCTTTCAATTTAAACCCATTCCCCCTTGTCCTGTCACTACAGGCCCTTATAAAAAGTCTTCCCCCCCAGCTTCCTTGTAGGCCCCTTCAGGTACTGGGAGGCTGCGTAAGAAGAATGGACACCATGTGACACGCTGGTCACACTGCTTCATTTATTACTGATATGCTGCCCTGTCTTTTGTTGGTGGATGTTGTAAAAGAACATTAACAGAAAGGATGCCTAACCCACCTCACAAAAAAAGGAGGGTGACATCCCGACTTCTCGATGTCTTGTGTTCAGCTACCGGGTGCAGTCGGCAGAAAGCAGCGTAGGTGGCATCCAGTGTGTCACTGAAGGATGGCCTTGAAGACATCACCCTCCCGCTGCTAACCAAACACCTTCGGGTGCGGCACCTGTGACTCAGTGCCATCTCCGGTGCCTACAGGTTTGGTAACATTTTCTGAACCTGCCCTGCAGCAAAATCCTTCAAAGCGTGACAGCCTTTTAATTTAGTACGGCAAACAGATCTGGGGTCGATTGAAACTTGGCCTAATATTTGCGCTTGGCCTAGATGGGCTGAAGGATTTGCAGTTTCTGGTGTAGCTGGTTCAAGACTTGGGTTTGTCACGGGAGATGAACCCGAGTGAGTTAGAGCTGGTTCAGGGTGCCATGCCGAGTGCTTTCCTGACAGGGAGAACTGCAGGCTGCAGTGCCTTTCCTCAGTGTTCAGAAATATAGGGAAGCTAGAAGTAAAATAACCTGAAGTGTCTAGCTTCTGCCCCTTTCACTTCACATCTAACAAGACTGCTTGCTCAGGTAGGTCACTGTAATCTGTCCTCTGTTTCATCTCCATGCACTGTAGCAAATTTGGTACTGCTCAGAAGGGTCAGGAGAGCAACACTTTGTTAAAGCTAAAGTTAAAAGACTACAATTTCCAGAACAAATATTCATATCAATAAATCCTGGTTTTTTACATAGCAGCAATGGAGCCATTATCAGCTCCTGTTCACCTGGCTCACTCCTCCGTTGATAAAACGTCTGGGGACCAGCGTGTGAGATGAGGTGTGTGCGGAGGACGTGATGTGCATTCGCCTGGAAGAACGGTTGCGTGACTACTGTGCACGCGAATACCCATGGATGCGATTCTGCAGCTGCCAGAGTCGGTTGGAAAATTGCCTTCTGACTTCGTTGCTGCACACTGAAACCGAGGGAATGAGATAAGGAGGGCTTGGCACCCCTTCCTTCTAGCTCTGCATGTCCTGGGTTTTTGTGGAGCGTTTCATGTTTCAGCTTCCCTGTTCTGCTGGGGCCTGTTACTGCCCTAGAGACGGGAGAAACTCCAGATACTATCAGGTGCTGGTGCCAAGAGTTTAAAACCTGTCTCTTCTGGTTGCTTGTTTTTATTATTATTATTTTTAAGGAACTTACAACCTTCAGTTCTGTCTTAAGTGCAGGATTAACAGTGGGAAAGGAATTTATGTCCAGGTGGGGCAAACCTGTCTCTTCCATTTAATCATACAACCTTTTAAAAGGCGTTTCCCTGTTGTGCCTGCTTGGCCAAATTGTCTTTGCCAGCTTCCTTGAGTACTAGGCCATAATATTTTGCTAAATGGCATAGTTCATGCCTCCTGATCCAAAATGGCCACAATTTGTTCCTGTATATCTGTTTAACATGAAATTATACCAAGAACAAGTCAGTTGGGATGATCCTGAAGCTACATAGATGTTGGATTCAGATTCTTCTTGGGAGTTCCTAGAGTTGCATGTAGTGAGAA